TGTGCAACATCATGTCATTAAGTGCAACTTGCAACTTTCTTCTAGCTCCCCCATTGATTTTGCTTGTCAGAAACTGACAATGAAAGTCACATATGATGATTAAGTGATCATAGGACACTGCAAGAGCCACAATGTCAAGGAAATACTGTAAGTCTTTTCATATGGTGCCATTGTAACTTTGGCACTGAACAAGATGTCCTTAACTGTATTTGTATTTCTTTGTATGTAATAAACTTCCAGCCATAACGTGTAAAGTACATTCTTTGGATAGAATGCAATACTACTTCCTCCAAAGTGATAGATTTACATCTCTGTGTATCACCTTTGAATGAGTTTTAGCCTAGCCTCCTTCTTGGATCTTTTAGTTTGGGGCAATAATTTGTTTTAAATTATTGTATTCTGTATGTTCAGTCATGTGAAGAGACCCTGCTTCTAATTGGAAGTACTACATCTCATTTATAATTTTAAAAAGAAATATGCATTAAAATATCCTCCTCATTCTAAGATACAACAGAACTTCAGATTATTTTGATTGCATTGTGAACTCATTCATAAGGAAAGTTGCAAAATATTCATAACTCCGTAAAAGAGTTCGGATATATGAACACATGGCAATATCATTGTCAACTTAGAAGAAACTTAACTTCTTCAGAATTCCTTGTAATTTGAGGGTTTGGTCACAAGGTGTCACCAATATACCAAGAAAAATAATAGAATTAAATGGTCCCACAAAAGAAGAGCGGGTTTTTTTTGTTTGTTTTTTTGCTTTCATATTTGTTTGATAAAGACTTTAAGAGTGAAATCTATGTGTTTTCAGCATATGTTGAAGGTTCTGTAAATATTTTATTAATAAGACAAGCAGTAGACTTCGCCTACAGTAGACTTTTAAGCAGATACAGGCAATACCTGAGAACAGTAATGAACCAGACAAGGGCATCAATATATAACTAAAATTCAAGTTATTCAAGAACCAACCTTTTAAAAAGAATCTAGTAAATGAATCTAGTAAATCTGCAAAATACTTGAAAAGAGAAGGGCATGGCTTTCTCTTTTTCTCCTATTCAATTCCAAATGTCAATTGCCTTTACAGGTAGTCCTTGACTTACAACAGTTCATTTAGTGATCATTCAGGGTTATAATGGCACTGAAAAAAGTGACATATGACCCTTTGTCACACTTACAATTGTTGCAGCATCTCCATGGTTACATGACCAAAATTCAGATGCTTGGCAACTGACTCTTATTTATGACCGTTTCAGCATTCCTGGGTCAGGTGATCTCCTTTTGCAACCTTCTGACAAGCAAAGTCAATGGGGAAGCCAGAGTCACTTAACAACAGTGTTACTAACTTAACTCCTGCAGTGATTCACTCAACAACTGTGGCAAGGAAGGTTGTAAAATGGGACAAAATCCACAACAAATGTTTCACTTAGCAACAAAAATGTTGGGCTTAATTGTGGTGGTAAGTTGAGGACTACCTGTATTTTCTTTAGGGTAAGGGTTAACTATTCAACATTTGTTAAAAGGCTTGCTCGGTTATTTGGTTTATCTTCTTGTAGAAAGTTTCGTATTTTTATACCCCCCTTCCCCAAAAAATGCATGTGGCCTCATAGAGTATTTTTGAGGTTCACTTGTAAAGAGGTTCAGAGAGTGTGATTGTGCTTCTAGAGCAGGAGGACTTCATCAGGGTTGTGTTTGACCTTGGGGGGGGGGGACTGGCCAGGGTGGGAGTGGCCAGCTCAGCATCACTCATGTCGGGAGCGCCTATGGGGGCCCCAAGTGCTCTGCCAGCAAAAACAGGCTCCCGAGCTCCGTTTTTGGCTGTGACAGCCTCCTACAACCCTCTGCCAGCGAGAACAGAGCTCGGGAGGGCTGCGTTTCCACTGGCAGAGGCACCATGGGCCAATCCTTTGCTGTTCCCAGTGCCGCCCCACGGCCCAGATCTAAGCACTCCACAGGCCAGATCCAGCCCCCGGGTCTTGAGTTTGACACTCGTGTTCTAGAGGGTGTTTGTGTGATCCAGAGGTGCTGAGTACATCATTGTCAAGTGGATCATTAAGTCTTCTTATCAGAGGGGGGGGGGAAACATGGTTATATTTTGGGGGTGATGATGTTACCAAAATATCTGCTAAATGTTTAGGAGCCTTTTTTTTCTGTTTGTTTTTCCCCCCAGGTGAGACATGGAATCCATTAAAATTGCATTACCAGTTAAGAAACGTCCGCGAACGGTTAGCCAAAAACCTAGTTGAAAAGGGGGTTTTGACTACGGAGAAACAGAACTTTCTCCTCTTTGACATGACCACGCACCCCCTCACCAACAACAACATTAAGCAGCGCCTCATCAAGAAAGTTCAAGAAGCTGTGCTTGACCGATGGGTGAATGACCCCCACCGCATGGACAAGCGCTTGCTGGCTCTCATTTACTTAGCCCACGCATCAGACGTCCTGGAGAACGCTTTTGCCCCCCTTCTGGATGAGCAGTATGACCTTGCCACAAAGAGGGTGCGGCAGCTCCTGGATTTAGACCCTGAAGTCGAATGTACGAAGGCCAACACAAATGAGGTTCTCTGGGCTGTTGTAGCAGCCTTCACAAAATAAGTACAATCAGACTGCTCAAACAGTTCCCCCCCCCCCCTTCATTTCATGTAAATTGGTTAATCTTCTCTTGATGATTCATATTTTCTGTCATCTGTACCTCCCCTTTTGTGATGAAAATCGGCTCCTGTTCATAAGAATGGTAGGTAATGTGTTCTGGGTCCCCATACATCCGCCCCCCCCCCCCCCCCCCCCCCCCCCCCCATGTGTGTCTACTACAGGATTCTGCTGGTGCAAGAAAGCTACTTCCTGTTGTTAAACTGGTGGGCTGTCATATTGTCATTCTGTTTTATATCCAATTTAAGTTACTTTAGATTTCTATTGTGTGCTTCCTTTTCTTCCTCTGGAATGCTGTTGTACAAAGAGAAACCACTTCCCAGGAGAGAAGCAAGAACCTAGTTTCCAGCGGATTTAGCTCTATAATATGCCTCAGCAGCAGAGCGTTATGGACTTAAAAACCGTAAAAGGATTTTGACATCCCAAAGTTTAGCTACATTGAAATCTGGAGAAAGTGGTTTTACAGGCACTGTCAAGACACTTGTGTGAGACACTCGTATAGAACCTACTTAGCTGAATGAATCTGAGATAAGCATCAAAGCAATACTTGGTGAAATATATTTTCTTTCTTTATTGAAGTTTAGATGTGTTCAAATAATTCTGAAACCTTGAATATCCCAAGATGGGCTCAGTAACGTTTGCATATTGCTGCCCATGAAAAACTATATTAACTTTATGCTTTTGGGGTTTTTTAATTTTCCCCTGCAAAACAACACTCTGAAATCTCAGATTAGTGCAGAAAGGCCCAGTTGTTTCACAAAAAGCTTTTATGATGGGATACATTCCAATGTTGCCTGTACATAGTAAGAACTGTATATTAACACGCGAGCACATGAAATGATTTTAGTAAAATTCTAAATGTCAATGGATGGGACACACCTGGCATTCCATTTATTTGCTTTTTTCAGCTGCTGCCTTCCCTTCTCCCCCTGCCCTGTTTTGGGAAGCTGGGCCTGCTATAAGTGAGTGAGTGAACATGTGTGATTCTTTGAACCTGCCTGGGCTTTGTGCCATCCAGGTACAATCTGCCTATGCATTGCCTTGATAGTATTTGTAGTATGATAAAACTACGTTATTATGGTTTTTTTAAATCTTATTTTCAGAAGAGGCTTGTGACCAGTAAAATTCTTTGTGCAGTTTTCGGCTTTAGTTTATTCACAACCTAATACTGTACTATGTCTCATGTCATTAATCTACTTAACACTTCAAAAAAATCAGCTTTCAATCTTAGCAAGTATTGCATGTAAATTGTTAGCGGGTGAATACTACAGTTACACCAATGAAGAGTTCTGTAGTAGGACACTTTACTATGTTTAATTTTTATATACAATTATGCTGATTAGCACATTATTGTAAAATATATAAACTGGCTTTTTAAAGTTTATTACCTCTTTACTGTTGCTTGTCCTTGCTTCACAATGTAAATATTATGCGTTGAACAAATTAAAAACTGGCTTTCCCCCCCTTTTTGGTTCAAATAACAGAACACATTAATAGTGGGACTGGTATCTAGAGATTTTTCTTTAACACTGAAACAGAGAATACTAAATGATATAACTGTAGTTGAAAGTAAAGGGAATTCCCAATCTGTATACTAGCTTTTTACCTATGGTAAATAAACCTATGATCTTGAAAGTGCCTGAAACAGAGCAAGCATATAATTTTGTATTTTGTGTTCTTAATTCTGATTTTTCAGTTATTTCTCCTATGTAGAATTGGAAACTACTGTAATCCTTTAGGGTCTGGGGATTTCTTGCAAACAAAGAATGGATGCATCAGCTTTTCATCTTGCAAGGATGAAACTTGTCTCTGATTAGATCAGTTTCTTCTAACTATCCAGCTTGGTGATAAATAGAAACCTTTTTTTGATCTGAACTTTTTTATCACAGTACTTAACAATAAGAAGTAATATCTTAAGTTTTCTGGAGTGATTCTTTAATTGAACCAGCAGATGGTGTCTCTTCCTTCAGAAAATATTATGGCACAAGAAGCTGACAGTTATGGACTGTGCTATAGGATTGAATTCCTGGTATCTAAAAAAAGGGGGGTTAGAATCCAATGCTGTGAAATGTTTTCATTTGTTCTACGGTTTTGAGACATAATTACATATGTCACAGTTTTGAGGTTTTTTGCAATATCCATAGTCATGTAAACTGAATAATATGTGCATTTAATAATTACTCAGCTTTGCCAAATGTTTTCTAACTGATGAAAATGAAGTTACAGAAGTGGTTCAGAATATTTTCAGCGTCACTTTTCAGGAAAGTTGGTCCAAGAAGGACAAGAGTAACTTGACTAAGCCCAGTGTCACAACTATGACATTGTTGATGTCACAACGATGGATAAATTGCATAAAAATTGGGATTACAATCCTCATCATCAATTCCAATGAATGTCATATAGGTTAAATTGGTGTTGGACTGGATTAAATAAAACATTTTTTGCTAAAGTCATCTAGAATAAGAAACCATCATTTCCAATAGGAAGGATTCGAGAATGGCTAGTTCAGAGTCATAGAATACTTTTGCTTTCCTGAAGCCAAGAGGAATTACATGCTCTCCTAGAAAAGCATTTTTGGTGCGCAAAGGACGTGTAATTCTGAGTATCTAAACTTGTCTATTGTATCCAATTATACAAACTGAAAATTTTAGTGGGAGCATAAATGATTTCAATAAGCTTTCGGGAAATAACACCATCCTTTGCTTTCCTATAGAAAATCTTTTTATTATCCAAAACAGCTCTAATGGTTGGTTTTGTTTCAGCTCTAACTAATGCTAAAGCAAAGGTTATGTCTATGACCACCATAGAGTAAGTGCAAAGAAGATTTCTCACCTGCATACAGTCATATTTACAGCATTATTAGGATTCATACAGTTCCCTTGTTGAATACTTGAAGGTATTTCACAGGGTTGTTTTTTTTAAACTAAAAGCTCTAGTTAATTAGTGATACTTTAATCATGTCAAAATATTTTTAAACATTGGAAATAAGCCAGCTGAATAAATCTTAGCCCATTTGCGATAAGCTGAGATGTTGTTAATTGGTGGCTGGTTGCTAGACTTTTGAGAACTGTCTGCAAGTTGAAATGCCTGCTCAGACATGTATTTTAACAGGTGAGTGGGCTGTGTGAATGACCTTGTGAGTGTCACTAATAATGATCTAATCTTAGAGAGTTCATGACAGTTGCTGAGATCGAGAACTGGTCTCTTGTGCTAAGCCCGATATATTTAATGGTGAATGTTCAGGATTTCACACACACCCTAAGACTATTTACTCAGTGAATAGATTTAAGACTTGGATACCCACCATAATGTAGGTCATTGAATAATACTATACATCATATTTCCCAGGAGATTAAGAATTAAACTGAACGTAGATGCAGCAATGTCCTATTTTCCACAAGCGAGTTGAAAGCGTGTTCCTTTGTGTTAGTTTTCTTGTTATGGCTTTTGTAATAAGGAAAAAACAAATCTTGGGTAAAGCAGAATTTTGATGGATCTTCTAAAGCATGTTGCTTTCCATTTGTTCAAGTGAAGCATTTTTCCTGATCCTAGTTCTTCAATTTGTCTTTGGTAATAAGTCAGATAAATAAATCATAGAGGAGTTTGGAATTCCTTGTGCACAAACCATTTGCTTTTCTGCTATTCTACATTGTAGCACAAATCTGAACGAATGAAATCTGGATCCTTAACCATCAGCAAGGAAAGATGCATATTTACGTTAACCATGTTTTGTAATTTATAAATGTGAATTAAAATAATTACTTAAAATTTAAACTAACCTTCCTCGACCAGGTTTCTTCAAGCTTTACAGATTAGGATGCAAAAAGCTAATAGATCATAGTGAAAAAGACTATTAACATTACACTGAATTTGGACAGGACAATCCTTTAACTAGAAGGGATGCCTTCAAATAGAGAGCTATCCACCATAAACTGAGTAATTGTTATGTATTGCCCCTGTTCAGGGAGCATTGAGGCAGCAAGGAAGGGGCAAGTACTGAAGAAGAAAAAACAGAGTAAGCCTGGGGCAGAAATAACATAAACAGATAATCAGAGTTGGAAGGGACCTTGTAGGTCATCTAGTCCAACCCCCTGCTCAAGCAAGAGATCCTACCTCATTTCTGACAGATGGGAGTCCAATCTCTTCTTGAAAGTTTCAAGTGATGGCGGACTCTCACAAGACTAGTTTACATGAAGAGGATAGTGGAAATGGATCAATCCAGAGATCCAGTTAGAAGTGATCCAGATGGATCTTGACAGACTAGAACACTGGGCCGTATCTAACAATGAAATTCAATGTAGAGAAAAGTAAAGTCCTACACTTAGGCAAGAGAGACCCAAAGTACCCATATAGACTGGATGAAACCGGGCTCAATAGCAGTAACTGTGAGAGGGATCTTGAACAACCAGCTAAATATGAGCCAGCAGTGTGTAGCAGCAGCCAAAAAAGCTAATGCAATCCTAAATTGTATTAACAGAGGGATACAGTCAAGATCAAGGGAAGTACTAATGTCACTCTATAAAGTCTTAGTAAGACGTCACCTAGAGCAGTGATCCCCAACCTTTTTTACACTGCGGCCCGGTATCCCCAACCTTTTTTATGGCGTGGCCCGGTACCAACATCAGCTGGGCGCCGCCATCTTGTTTTGATGAAAAAGTGCTTCCGGTGAGCTTTCTACCCGGAAAAGCTCACCGGAAGCACTTTTTCATCAAAACAAGATGGCGGCGCCCAGCAAGCCAGCGGCCCGGTAGGACTTGTTCCACGGACCGAGACCGGTCCACGGACCGGTGGTTGGGGACCCCTGACCTAGAGTACTGCATCCAGTTTTGGTCACCACATTATAAAAAAGATGTTGAGACTGTAGAAAAAGTACAGAGAAGAGCAACCAGGATGATTAGGGGACTGGAGGCTAAAACATACAATGAAGAACGGTTGCAGGAACTGGGCTTGGCTGGTCTAGTGAAGAGAAGGACCAGGGGAGACATGATAGCAGTCTTCCAATATTTGAGGGGCTGCCACAGAGAGGAAGGGGTCAAACTATTTTCCAAAGCACCCAAAGGCCAGGCAAGGAATAATGGATGGAAACTGAACAAGGAGAGATTTAACCTGAAAATAAGGAGAAACTTTATGGTAGTGAGAACAATCAACCCATGGAACAGTTTGTCCTCGGAAGTTGTGGGAGACCCATCACTTGAGACCTTCAAGAAGAGATTGGACTGCCATTTATCAGAAATGGTGTAGGGTCTCCCGCTTGGGTGGGGGATTGGGCTAGATGACATAAGGTCCCTTCCAACTCTGATTATCTGTTATTTGTTAAGTAGCTACTGATGGGGAGACCAACTCCAACGTATTCGTAGAAATTGAGAAAGAGTGGTTGCCACTCAAGATTAGACCTCCACTCTTAACCTGGACTCTTGGAGATCCTGCAATAGGGGCAGCCCGCAAGGCTTGTTTGAGCAAAACTGATGTGGCGTCCTCATTCTAAGCCGTCATCTTTGCTATCTTGTTGGGTTTTTGGCCCAACATTGGAATCAAGAAGAAGAGTCTCTGCAGCTTCTGGAAGGCGGAAGTAAAAATGGAAAGAAAGGTTTTTTTTCCCATGGGAATGGAAGAAAATATGTCCTTTCTAACAAAACAAAAAAAAGTGAAGTTAACCCCTTTCCTGTCACTCCACCTTCCATGATTGGGAAGGGCCAATTTTTTTTAAGCAAGGAGTTTGAATATTTCCCCCAAATTTAGTGTCAGGCTCGTGTGAGGCCCATTGGAACAATCTCCAATGTTGGCTGCTGTTTCTGTTGAATGGCTGATTGGCTTCAAGCAGCAATTGCAGAGGGACATCAAAACAAGCAACATACCAGTCAAAAGTTTTCTCCTTTTTCTATGTGGCATAGCATTATATTTGCATATAAAGGAGCAGAATTTTAATTGTGACACATAGATTCCCATATTGCCTGTTTTGATTCCTCCGCAGATGACCCTGGCTGGCTGTATGTGTTCTCTGTTCAATTTAAAATTGAATAAGAAATTTTACATTTTATGGAAATCCCATGTTTCCCAGAAGGAGAGAAAAGGAAGTGCCAAACCCCCGGCTGAAACGAAAGAAAGCTTTACAAAACTAAAACATTGGCAACACTTGATACGGAAAGGCTCCTTTCCAAATAAACAAGGGTGGAACAAAATACTTAGGATTTATAGCACTTTGATATTCATCGGATGGGTCATAATTTGCCCCTGGTTAAGCGAAGTAGCATAGTAAACAGTGAGGAAGCCCTGGAGACTTTCTCTATTGAAAGTAGCATGAAAATCAATTTCCTGATTACAGGTAGACCTTGACTTAAGACCACAGTTGGGATCAAAATGTCTGTTGCTAAGCAGGGTCGATTTTCTGACCTTTTTTGCCATGCTTGTTAAGCAAATCAATTGAAGTTGTTAAGTGAACCCACTTGGCCAATAAAGAATTTCTATTCTGTTCTGTTCTGTTCTGCTCTGCTCTGCTCTTTCCTTTCCTATTCTATTCTATTCTATTCTATTCTATTCTATTCTATTCTATTCTATTCTATTCT